CACACACACACACACACACACACACACACACACACACACACACACTTAAAAAAAGGGATCATTAAAGCGATATTACTTGATTAAAAAGACACACTGATTTCAAAGCATACAGTTAAAAATTTTAAAAATGAGGAACTTAACATGTCACATGACATCTACTGTGACAGATTGAGGCTAGCAGTTTAACAGGGGTTTGTCTCTAATTGACTAATATGTGTTGACTTGAAAACTGCTGTGGTTTGACTAACTGATAAACACCAATGTTTTCTAATGTACCTTACGGTGAAGTTAATTACAACTGTTATATTCATCAATGGGCTTTCAAAGAATCTGAAAATTTTTTTCAGGGATAATGCAGAAATATCTAAAAAAAAAAAAAAATGCATTATGTTGCATTATGTTTCATCCCATCAAAATGAACTTGAGTACTGCCTGATGATAGAGCTTTTTGAATTAGAAATTCTGCTTTCTGTGAAGATGGAGAGATTAAAGTATAAGTCAGTGACAAAGCAGCACTGATGCATCTGGTAGCTTGCTTGCTTTTCTCAGTCTCCATCACTTCGACAGGATGGCTGTTTGCCAACATGTGCTTAAAACTGAGTCTCAAATTTGAAATATGTAGCCTTCTGTACTCACTACATTATGTCTCGTGGACTCGTATGACCATAAAGAATAATGAGCTTCCTGCAGTTACACTTGCCAATAGCTATGTCACAGAAGCACCCAGATGGGCCATAATTGTTTATAGTGATATATTATCTAATGAGTGACATATTGCAGTGACTACAGGGGAGAGAAGTGGGTCAGGAGAGTAATGAGCTCCAAACTGCTCTGATGTTACAGGACTGTGGTTAGGTAGCAAAGAAAATCAAGGCTGAGGACTGAATGAATAAAACATGATTGTTCTATAACAAAAAGAGAATATGACAGAGGAGATAAAATGGTGTGTTTAATAGAAAAGAGGGGAACGATGTGAAGGATGAGAGTGAACAGTGACTGAATGTAAGAGAGAGAATGGGATAAATCGCACAGGGAGTGAGAAAGGAGTGAGATAGTCGGTTCATCCCCTGGGCCACTGCTGCTGTTCTAACAATAGCTCGGCAGCAGAAACTCCTGTGGGCTTGCAGCTCTGCCGCCCTCCAAGGCAGAACTGCAACAACTGGCGGAGCTCCTCTGCTGTATGTCAGCAGTGTGAACAACTCGTTCTTGTTGAATTCATTTACATTTAATGAGTGGGTGTAACACATCACAGCAGGACAAAGGACTGAGTCTTAAGGAGAGTTAGTAACAATATCTACATCATCCACCCAGCACCAGCATAGTTTGAATCCAGGCTATAATTGGACAGAGATGCCCTCAAATAAGCAGCAACACAGACCAAAATGTTAGGCAGGTGCATCAAATAAATAAGAAGAATAAGACTTTATTCATTTTAATATAATACTAGGAAACCACGAGTGCCAAAAACATATCCTCACTGCATGCAACGAATTCACCTTTAACAGCCCAATTTAAGTTAAATTTTTCCTATTTTACTGCTTGTATAAGTAGTTTAAATAGTGATTTTAAGGTGCAGTGCCTGGTTTATTGAAACCATCAAGTGATTTATTGGAGCCCATGTGTTTGCAGCAGTCAGTTGCAGCTGTTTATTGCAATAACTCCCGTCAGAGACGAGGTGGTGTCATTTTACTTTGGTTTCTGGCATTATCACAACATTAAAGAAGGAAGGTAGCTACTTATTAAACCTATGCATATTTATAGACAAGCTTAAACAACAGAGATACTTTCAACCACAAGTGGGTACTGGTGCTACTTTAGGTATCCATTGATCAATATATCCTACTGGCCAGTACTGGTCAATCACAGGTATATTGGAGTCACTGTACAGGCTGTACAATATGAATAGATAAATACTAAACATTATGCAGAAAGAAATATGCTTGGGTTAACTTAGAAATTTGTCATCACACTGCAGAGCTGCTGAATAGAAACTGGAGGGGATTCAAGCAGTTACGTTGTTAACAAACTCTGAACATCTTAGCACGGTGTGCAGTTTGCCCTTTAAAAAATTTGAGGAAACGGGAAAAGTGAATGCCAAAAGAAGCAAATGAACAATATCTGAAAGCATTTCCTTAAGAAACTAAAGACTTGACACATCTCAACTGAAAATCAGCGGCAATTATCATCTGAAGTGATGAATCCAAATTTGTTGTCAGTATGTACAGAGGAGATGAGGAGAGAGGTATAACAGTGACTGTTTACAGCCAACCAGTGTAACATGTTTAAAGCTCTGTCATGGTTTGAAGCTCCATTTCAACCAGTGGTGTTCATGGAAAGATGACTGAAGAAAAGCACTGTTAGATGGGTTAGGGTGGGCAGGTGACCATATGCTGTGTGGCTGCAAAGCAGTAGGCCTGGGTTTGAGTCCGACCTGTTGCCCTTTGCCTTGCCCTCTCTCTCCCTCCCTGCTTTCCTGTCTATCTACACTGTCTCTATTGAATAAAGGCCAAAAATAAATAAAATTAATAAAATGGTCTGGCTCTTGCTTATGTATATTTAAATTTTACTCTATAGTATTTGTTAAAAACAAAAAAAAGTTAGAATAGTCACAATGAGCAGTGGGAGCTGAGCACAAAACACAGAATCTCATAGTTTTACCTCCACTCTTCTTGCGGGTGCTGTTTTTCATATTTCTCCCTCACATGAGACACACCCAAATCAGGGTGTAACCAATGGAGAGCGTCTGAGCGCAAGTGGGTCAGACGGAGACCTAAAGAGGCAACACAGCGCAGTTTGTGGATCTCTGCTATCTTCTGGATTACACCCTGTGGAAACAAACGGTTGGATGAAGAAAAAGAAAAGCGAAAATCAGGGAAATAACAACAATACCGAACTATGCAGGTAAGAAACGTGTGCACGTTACCCTGACGTCTGTAGCATCTCCGTGCCTGATATTGCTGGCCCATGTACATGGTTCGCTGTTTGTCTCAAAGTAATGGAAGATCTTAAGAACGCGGTCCATGGAGCCCGGGGGTCTCTCTAGACCTCCAGCAGAGCCACTGGTGCTGGGTACACCGGGGATTCCAGACCGGGATTTAACCCCGCAACCACCCGCAGATGGGTGGTTGATGTTGGGTTCCAAGTAGGAAGACGACGCCATGCCTGACTCGGATGCTCCTGCTAGGGCTAACTGGCCATCATATTCTGAAAAGAAGACAGCAACACAGTAAGGACCCGGTACTCAAATCAAGTGGTATTCTGATTTAAAACGAAGTCGGTTATCATATGAAAGAAGAAAGCACTGCACACATTAAATGAAAAGGAAACTTTGGAATTTGGATTTAGAGTTGGAGCTAATGAAGTCACAGTTCTTCACATAAACATTTCTACTAAAAGAATCTCAACCAGGGGGAAATTAGGCAGCTATAGAGGACAACTGCTAAATCAACCAGGCGGACAGCTTTTAGACTGACTGACTGCAAGTGGCTTGGTCATTCAGTCCCACCTGCAGCGTAGCATGGATGGAGTCTATGCTACGCTGCTGTCTCCATTGTGGTGTTTCTTAAAAACTAAAAGCTGTATGAGGATAATTAAACTGTTCTGGAAAAACTGGTGCCACCTAAAAATGGCTTTGGCTCATTTTACAGAAGCTTTCTCAAGTAGCGGTGCACCAATTTGAGTTTCAATATCTCAGCATTGACAGCTCATTCTACACGATCACGATCCTGACAGTAACCATAATTTTTCCTTAAGTCCCATTTCTAATGACAAACATTAGAAAAAAGATGTTTACCTGCTGTGATCAAGGATTTTAACTATAGATTTATCCAAAGTTAACAATAGCTGCCCTGATACCAATATATAAATCACAGAATATCACAATGCAGATTTTCTGTTTCCAAATTCAAAATGACAATATGAGCACAATAATAAACTTTACTATCAAAAGGAGGCAGACACAGTAATAAACCAGGCTACAATGAAAATGCTGGCTTGTCTAATAAACAAATGTAAACAAGTTATTGTCTCTCACTCTTCTTTCACCCAATATCCTTTTTTATTAGTTGCTGATTTGTTTCTCGTTCGACTGTATTTTTGTGCATGACACCTCCACCCCCCGATGCTTCCTGTGTCACACTCTCACTTCCTGGACATCCCCGCAGGGTTTTGTCGAGTCATCACCACTGCAAGGACTGCTTTCAGCTGACTGTGAATTCTGGCTATCACGTGGCAACAAATTAGGCACAAGTGGTGCGAATCAAAATTACTTCACGGCTCATTTCCAGTATTTAAAGTGTAATCTTTGACAAAATGTGAAAGTGATCTGTATCATTAACATCTATCAGATGCTGGATCACAGGCAGTTTATTTCCTATCGATAAGAACCGAAGACTTATGGAGACTGAATGATGGAGATACAAGTCGTTTCAGCACTTTTAACCTGTTTGACCTGCAGCTGGATAGAAACATTTATTCTTCCCTCACTGTGAATTCCAGGTTTTCCCCCGGTTAAGGGAATTTGGTTTTTTTGTGTTAAAATTTGTGTTTTTTAAAAATCGTTTTTCAATGATAGGGGGTTATTTGCTCAAGGATAACCTCTGTTCGCTCAGAAGATTGCTGTATTTTCTTTTGCACACATCTTTTCCATATTGGTGGTATTAAAATCAACCTTTTCAGTGACCAAAGTAGTCCCAAAACTGATATGCTACCTAGATTACATCATGCTGTACGAGGTTATATTCTGAATAGCGAAAATGCTCATTGTGTCCTTGTAATACATATAGGTCAGTGTGAAATGGTCAACCAACAAATCCTCAAGGCACGAGTAAAGTAGATTAGTAGATTAGATTATAAATGCCCCTCTTACTGTCATCATCCAATTATAATTTTACTTCTGGTATTAGGATTATTACAGGGCCTGTCACAATCCTCAATAATCCTATTAATAATACCACCTTCTTTTCAATAACTGCTGAATTTATTTGATGAGATAAGTTAAAGGTAAAACATTTCGTTGCACATAACAAATATATTAGTGAGGTTTTGCAGAAAAGAACCTTTATAATCCCTCCACTGTTACTCTGACAGCAGCTGAAATTTCAAGTTTCATAAGGAGATTTATGCAAATCAGCTCTGCTTTATGCTTCAAAATTCCAGGCTTTCTGAACCATTCCTTGTAAAGTATCAACCCAGCACTTTAAAGTACAGGTATGACAAACCATTTGCTGACATTGCTCATGAAATGCTTTTAGCATATGAATGTTCTCAGTTTAGTTTACTGTGCATGTTCACTGACTGAAATTACGTTAGAATGGTTTGCTGGGTTTTTTCTTTCCCCTTTGGTTGGATATTGTGTAACTGGGCGAGCAAAGCAATGTCTTTTGTATTTTTAGTTGTGGTAAATATACACTAAAAACACTCTTAGTGCAAACCCCTGTACAGACTGTGAGCGCAGAAAGAGTTGCAGATGCAGCAGCCCAGCATGTCTTCAGTTGTTTTAACAGCACTAGCTCCAGCTTTCATGCCTTGTCTCAGAGGGACATGTTAAAAAATGTATTGGGGGCATTATTTTGACTGCGAATTATTTTTACATGTAAGCAACTGCAGCATTTTAGCTACAGAATCACAAACCAAAGTCTGCGGTCTGCTGCTTTCACTCGGTCAGTCGGTAGTCAGATTAGATATTAAGTGTTCGAGCATCGTAACACATAAAACACAGGAGCAAAAATCACCTACATGCACCGATAACCTAAATACTACATACAGCTTTGCTAAATCCTGTTAGAGAAGTAAGCATACCTTCATTTCAGTGCACACATACTTTATGATCCTCATACTCTTACATCACATCTAAGTAGGAAATTTAGTATGAGAAGACGTATATAATGCACGATAGGTTGGAAAAAAATACTATAATGTATTGTTACAATAATTATATTAGCACACACACACACACACACATATATACATACACACTCACTCAGTGACAATTAGGGCACTTTATAACACGTATGGCTCTAAATGTAAATTAATAACCATTTTAAAATAGGTGCCCTACACAACATAAGGTAAATGACATCATCTCTCATTGCCACCAATCTCTGCTCAGTGCAATTGCACTAAATTCCCACATGCAAGCCCTCCCACACACACACACACAAGCGTGAAGACATGAATCAAATCAACTAGGCCAAGTAGACAGCCAGGAGGGGTGCGGGCAGCTTCCAGACCCACCGCCCGCGCTCTCAGTGGGGCTCCACTGACTGACAGTAAGCCTGTTGAACCACAGAAGGCTGGAGTTGAGCTCAGTCCCACAGCAGCAGCAGCTGGAGGACGGTTTATCTCCTTTTCTAACGGGTATCTGGGTTACTGGGGTTAGCACAACCCTGGGGAAGCAGAGGCTTGGCAGCAGTGGCTTGCCATCGCCATCTCTGTACCATTGCCTTTCTCTTTTCTTCCTCCTCAGTTGTTCACATCTCTCACATCAAGCCTATCTTTCTGAAAATGTCATAATTTTTTCCGTTTACTTCCATTTCTCATGTATCAAAACTCCCAAAAGCTTCTTTCCACTCTTCATCTTTTCTTCTCATCCTCTTAAACACATCCCTTCCCCCTTCTCTCATACTTACAGACCTTTTAGCCACTGCCTTCACAAGTCCATTTGATCCTTCTGTCCTATTGAACCACCTCTCCTCCTTCCTCCCTCTCATCTTTCTCTCATCTTCATTTTCCTCTGCTTCCCCCCTCTCCACGTATTTCTCTCGCTACTTCCAAGGATACGCATAATCTATATTAGACTCAGGAGCAGACGTGTGAAGGCTAAACATTAGTTGCAAATATTTCAACAGTTTAATACTGACAAAAAAGCAACCATATATACTACTTTAACACTAAAAGCACTTTATACAACATGTCTCATTCACATAAGCACGTTTTTAAATCTGTTTCTATCTAACACTCGCACTCCAATCAGTGCATCAGGAGCAACTTGTTGTGTCTTGCAAATGGTAAATGGTAAATGGACTTGTTCTTATATAGAGCTTTTCTACTCTGTCTGAGCACTCAAAGCGCTTTATACAACTAATTCATTCACCCAATCACACCCATTCACACAAGCACTTTTTTCTGACCTAAGTGCTAAGTAGTCTACCATTCATACACATTCACACTCCGATGGATGCATCGGAGAGCAACACGGGGTTAGTATCTTGCCCAAGGATATTTGGCATGCAGACTGGAGCAGCCTGGGATCGAACCACCGACCTTCTGGTTAGTGGCTGACCTGCTCTGCCACCTGAGCTACAGCCACCCGGGTGGCTGTAGCTCCAGCTGTAGCTTTGCAATTACAAATACAGCAACCGAGGTTTGACTCAAGTGCTGTAAACATGGAGTGACATACACTCTCATTAGACAGCGTCGGCAACTAACTAAGTTAAGTTCAGCCATTGTTGCAACTGGATCTGACGTGTAACAAATTCTGACAGCAAACAGAAACAGTACAGATCATTATGCCTGTAGCATACTGTGAAAACACCCAAAGCTCAGCGTGATGAAAAGTACAATTCATCTTGTTCAGGATACCTATATCCACTGGCATTTACCATATATGCACCTAATGAAAGAACAGTGCACTGCATTCATGAATAGTTGATACTGCATCATCAATTATTATGGATTTAATATTATATTCATAAAGAGCGAGAATTAAGTGAAATAAACAGCAGAAAGTACTAACTAGACAATGCATAGTATACATCTCCAATTTCTCTACTGATGCTTCTTAATACCTACTTGGTAAGGGGTGCTGTGCATAAATGCACCCCCCCTTGGTCCAGCAGAGAGGGATGCAGCCGCTGCTCTCCATTTGTACTGTAGGGGGAGCAATTCCAGGTGTGGCCACGGGGCCCAGACAAAACTACTGGGCCCTAAAAACAGCATAGAGCCTATGACTAGGGGCAGTTCCTCATTGGGCTTTATGCAACAATTTAAAAAAAATTCCAGGTAGATAAATCTGAAGACACCTGTTTAAAAAAAAAAAATCAATAAGATGTGAAAAACAGTGGGAATTTGTTGTGCTGGTGACTGGAGTCTTTTTGGTAAAAAGCTTATTGATTGTAAAAAAAATAAATAAATCGTAGTAAAAAAAAAAATCAATTAGCATCCCAGAATTGAAAGTAATGCCAGTAAAGGAAATAATCTAATAGGAGGAAATAAAGAGTGTCAAATATCTTTTGTACTGACGACACATGAAAGAGAGAAAACACTGGCTGGCTTGCTGTCTATGCTGCAGCAGTCACTACATTAGACTACAAGTGCAGCTGATAGAGAAGATCCAATAGCTTTTAAATAATACTGACACAGAGGTCCATCAGGGCTTCTTGTGCATAATAATCTAATTTATAAATATTTCATGTCTAATATTTGGTGAAAAAATCCAAGCTCCAATCACAAGACTGCAACTCATTTCTCCACAGCTTTTTGAAACATTACTCCAATTCAGGAGTCATCAACTTGGATTCCTGGTCTTAGTAATCAGCCGCTCTGACTCTTGCCATGTCCTTTCACACAGAAAATTTTGCAACGTAATATGTAACGATCCTCTGTCAGGAAGCTCTTTCACCCCAAGGAGACTGAGCCTCAGAGGGTAGAGATAATTCAGTAATTTGCTCAAGGACAGTTCAGTGGAAGCTTCCAGAAAAAGATACACATGACTGATGATTTCCTTCCCTATTAGGCCATCTTGTAGGCCAATAAATTCCCACAAAATATCAAATTCAGGTCATCGGTAGGGAGTTAGTGATCCAATATATCACTCCTTGATAATAAACTCAAAGGTTTCTTTCCTGCAGCCATAAATCTTCAGCCACCGGGGTTTGGCATTACACGTCAAATTTCCAGGATACAAAATAAAAGTGACAGCCCTCACTGGATACGTAGGACTCCATCAAATCACATCAAGCGATCATTTTCCAAAGGAAGGTAGCAGTTCTGTTCTGTAAATCCACAATGCTGTCCAGAGGGGATGGCAACGCAGATCACAGCAAGGAGACCAGAGAAACAGGCATCAGTGAAAAAGACACAAAAATGTAGGGCACAGAAAATGAGCCTAGTGAGGGAGAGGAAAATAAGAGTGACTGAAGCAAGGGGGATAAAGAAAGAGCAAAGACATAAAGCTGAAAGAAATAAAAATTAGAAAAATGAGATACAGTTAGAATTAAAGATGAGTGGAAAAGAGCGTTTTGAGATGGGGAAAAAAGAGAAGAAATAATGCGAGCGGAATGATGAAAGAGAAGCAGAGAAACCTCAGGGAGAAGCTGAGCCTCACGTCCTCCAAAGCTTTCCCACAATGCTCAGAGCCAGCAGGAGTTAACCAGGTCAGAGCAGGTATCTGACGCTAGAGCGGGACATAAGTGAATGAAGAAAAGAAGAGCAGGATGGAAGCAGGACTAAAAAAAAGGAAAAATATTTAGCAAGAGCAGGTTTGATGCTGTAAATCCATTTCGAAGTCAGGCAGCGGCGTGTTGCTTAGTCTTTCTTCTGTGGCGGCGGAAGAGAAGCGAGAGCAGTTACAACATAACTTCCAACCTCTCACACATACACAGATACACCCAAACACACGCACGCGCAGACTGCTCATCCAGCAAAATCTTTAAGGAGTCAAAATGAGCGCACCGAAAAGCATGAAGATCAGACTGAGTGTAAGCCAAAAAGGGTGTATTAGAGTTCCCATATGTGTGTGTGCGCGTCTCAGAGAGCGAGAGAGCGAAATGCATAGGAAATATGAAATCAAAGTGACTGCATGTGAGTGTCAGCAAAAAGTGAGAGTGCGCGTCTGTGAGCCAAGTGTTTCTCCTCTGCTGTGTTTTAGGTTTAAGCTGCTGCGACCACGCTGCGAAAAAGCTGCTCGGATTGCTAACAGGCACAACCATGGAGGGGAGGGGGATGTTGGTGTTTTTGCAGAGGTGTGCGTGTGTGTAAGGCGGGGGGGGGGCACACGGAAGAGAAGCAGGAAGAAAGATAGATATAAACATTGTAAATGAGACTTGATGCAGTGGAAAGTAGGTGAGCTGATTGGACAGAATGCTAAAAAGGACCCGGTGACTTTAATAAACAATTCATATGAACACACAAACCTGTCTCTCACACACACACACACACGGTTTTACCAAGATTAGTGATTAGCCACTGAAAACACACATTCCACTCTCCAACCACTTACGACATTTGTTTGTCTACATTTCTCTACACCATCCCTCCCCCTTTTGACTCTGCAGCCCTCAGCAGGTCTACACTGCCCTCTGTCCACGCTCTCCTCCTCTCCACACATATTTCACCTGCTCCTGTAGCCTGCGAGCTTCACTGGCAGCAGAGCACTCCAACATTCAATCCCTCTAATGTGACAGCGCACAAGATGTTGTGAACGCTTTACAGCTAAGCTTCTAGTGGCTAAGCGCTGCAAGCAATTACTCACAGAGTATGCCAAGCCACACAGGAAACGTGTTTAAATGCTAGGATGTCTACTTTCCTTTTTTTATTGAACAAAAAAGTAAAGCAAATAGAATAGCACAAACATTTTTAGTTAGTTAATTCTGCGAATATATCAAAAAGGCAACTTTTTGTGTTTAATATTCAGAAAATAAAATTATTACAATAAATTTGCGAACTTATTTTGTCTTTTTGACATACGTGTATCCACTTTTCAGACCATCACAGTTACCGCCACTTTATTAGGTATACCTGATTAAGACTCTTAATTAATGTAATGTCAACAGAGGCTATGAAGTTCAAACTGAGCACCAGGATGGAAGTGGAAGTCCACATCGATTGCCACTCGTATCAGCTAAGAACAGGAAACTGAAGCTACAATTCACTCTCGCTCACCAAATTAAATAACAGAATAATGGAAAAAAATTGCCTGAACTGACGAACCTCTATTTTTGATGCAATATTCAGACAGCTAGGTCAAAATTTGGCGTACCCAGCATAAAAGCAGACATCCATCCTGCCGTGTATCACAGGTTCAGGCTGCTGGTTGTGGTGCACAGTAATGTTTGTCGTACCAACTGAGCAATGTTTAAAAACCACATCCGACCTGAGAATTGCTGTTGACCATGCCCATCCCTTTATGACCACAGTGTACCCATCTTCTGATGGCTGCTTCCTCAGATTAAGACATCACAAAGCTCAAATCATCTCAAACTGATTTCTCCATAACATAAGTTCACTGGCCACCACAGTCACCAGATCTTAACCCAGTAGAGCACCGTTGAGATGTACTAGAATGGGATATTCACATCATAGATGTCTGCAGCCACTGCGTCATTATGAACCAAAATCTCAGAGGAATGTTTCCAGCACTTTGTTGAATCTATGACACAAAGAATGAAGCCAATTCTGGAAGCGAAAGGAGGTCCTAGCCAGCACTAGCAAAGTGTGCGTAACTAATGCAGTGGCCGGTGAGTGCATTTCTAAAACTTCATTTAAAACACTGGTACATTGGCTCTGGATACATGCTGTGCATTAAGTACAAACAGAGAGGAGAAAGTGTAATGCTGCTACTGCAAAGAAATGACTCGGGATCTTTCTGTTTTATGCATCATATCACTATTTGACTGTTACAGGACAGAAACTGTGTCCAAAAGGTGTTATAGAGGGAGTTTACCCTGTGCCATTATCAGCCACAAAGGTTACATTCTGCCAGTCTGCACGCTGGATGGTTTATTGTTGTCGTTTTCCAGCAAACTGAGGAAGCTTCATGTGATTACAGGTTTGTGCTAACTTCAACTTTAGCATTAGAGAACTCCCAGAGTTAAGAAATGTAAATTTTGTTTTGGTCTTTCTCAGCTCAGAATATTCAGCAGAATATTGCTTGTAGACATACAGTAGGATCAACAGTTACCTAGCAACAGCTATGGAGAGATACTGGTGCTAAGGGCTATAAAATGTCTCATCTATACCTTTAAAATTATTCCGCTCAACTTCAAACTGCTCCGTGATGCAGTAACACTGGCCTTGTTTAAGTCTGGGATAATATCAAATAACATCTGATTTAAAAATAAAATGGAAAAAGCAGAACAGCACCTCTGTACAAGTGCTCTAAACCAAACTACGTACAATATCCACTTTTATTCAACAAAAAGGTTGCAAAAGGAAAGTATATTCAAAATAAAGCTGATATAACCATTCATGTACTGTATACTTCACGTATTAGCCTGCAGTGTTATACTGGCTTTAAACATTTTACATGATTTAAACAATGTTTAAAATAAAGCCTGCTGATATATTTTAGCCAAATAATGGTAAATCCTTACCAACATACACCAGCATGAAAATATCTTCTACAGAACAGAAAAAGATGTTTGGAGTAATTTACAAATCATGTCATAGTTTTTCCAGCAGCATATGCTACATCACAGCTGAGCAGGGCGACAAACACTAATTTGCTCACCAGTGTGTGAAAAGTTAATAAAGAAAGGGCTCCACGATTTTACTTTTTTTGATAGAACATGAGTATGTATTTAAGAAATACACATCGAGGAAATTTAACAATACCTTGATATTACAATTTTTTTTTTTACTTTCACATTGATTCCTAAACTCAATAGTTTTTTAATTCCTATCATTAGTTGATAGAAAATAGACATAATACCTTCATATATTGAAAACAATTCAAATTGTACTCACCGGCATAGTATGATATTCTGGAAATGTCTGCGAAAAGAAAGAGAGAGGGAGAAAAAAAAAAGTCTTAATTGATAAATTTGTGAAAACGACTCAGTGACTTACATCCTGCATTATTCTCGATACAGCACTCAGCTGTAAATGGGGTAGATATTCTCTAAAACTTGTCTGTGACCAAAACCACAAAATTAGCACATTTTAAAGCCATTTTTCTCTGCATCCCATTCAGTACTTGACAGAAGATGATTTTTCATGCATGGATAACTTGAAACTACTTTAACATTTCAGAGGTACTGTACGGCAGAATAAAGAAAAATAAATGAAGAGACGAAAGAAGACTTAAGAGAAGAGCTTGACAGGTAAAAAAAATAAAACAACAGATA